TGACAAAGACAACTGAAGCGTTCATGAACGAGACCATGACTCATCATAAAAATCAAGATGCTTTAATCCGAAATCTTGAGACTCAGATTGGACAGTTGGCCAAGCAATTGAATGAAAGAGCTCCGGGAACATTCCCCAGTGACACCATAATCAACTCAAGGAAGCACTATAATGCCATCACCACTAAAAGCGAGGATCTAGAGAAAGATGAAGTTGAAGCTTCTACAGGCAATGATAAGCACACCAAAGTAGGCAAAGAAGAAGCAAAGGAGCAACCTCCTGTAGTTCAGAAGAAGCAATGAGATTTCTCACGTTTTGAGAACCCTCCATATCCCATGGGTAGCAAACAACATGAGCAAAGGAAGCAAATTTCTAAATTTTTAGATATTTTTAAGAAATTACAAGTTAACATTCCTTTTGCAGAAACTCGACAAAATGCCGTCGTATGCAAAGTTCCTGAAGGAGACATTGTCTAAGAAGCGGAAGCTCACAGAGGACGAACCTGTCACGCTTACAGAGGAGTGCAGTGTAATCTTACAGAAAAACTTGCCTCCAAAGTTGAAAGATCCTGGGAGCTTCAGTATTCCATGCACCATCGGCAAGACAACCATAGAGAAAGTCTTATGCGATCTTGGTGCCAGCATAAATGTGATGCCCCTCACCCTGATGAAAAAGCTGGGAATTGATGAAGTAAAGCCAACGAGGATGAATGTTCAACTAGCCGACCGCTTAACAAAGCAAGCACATGGTATTGTGGAAAATGTGCTCGTCAAGGTAAACAAATTTCTAATTCCTGTTGATTTTGTTATTCTTGACATTGATGAAGATGCCAGTGTGCCTATAATATTCGGGAGGCCATTCCTAGCAACCTCAGGAGCGCTAATCAATGTACTTAAGGTAGAGTTAATAATGCGCGTGGATGGAAAGCAAGCAACATTCAAGGTACTTACAAATGAAGCTCTATTGCCTGCATCTCAACCTAAAAACCAAATTAACTACATTGTGGAGAAAAAGGTTGAGGAAAGGAACAAGAAGGAAAGACACAATACTGGATCAAGAAGAATGCGTCGGCAATGCTAACATGCTTTCAACCACCGTAATCACAGGGGGTACGTCAGGCTCGTGACGTTAAACAAGCGCTAATTGGAAGGCAACCTAATAGTAGTTTTTATGTTTTTATTCTATTTACTTTATTTTCTTAGTTAGTTCAATTTTAACAAGTCAAGTAATTGGTGACCATATGGAAAAATTTTAAATCTGGGAATTGGCGCTAGCAGCGCCAACTTGGCGCTAGTAGCACCACAAGACCAAAAGATACAGTGAGATTCGCGCTGACAGCGCCAGAAACCCACGAAAGAAGTGCGCCAACAGCGTGAGATCCACGCTCTCAGCGCCACAAGTCCAAAAGTTCCAGTGAGATCCGCGCTCACAGCGTGAAATCCACGCTATCAGCGCCAATGTTCTCACCTTTTACCTTGACTTTAGTGTTTTCTTTTTCCTATTTTTAGATTATGGTTTGATTATGTCTCCCTTTTAATATATTTCACTTTTATGATTATTCTGTTTGATGTTTAACAAGTCTGCGAGTGTTCCACCTGTGCAGAAGTAGCTTCACTCGACTAGTTTAGTTTGTTGCTGAGGACAACAATGTTCTAAATCTGAGAATTGGCCGCATGCTGCTGTATACGAGACCTGCTAACTGCGGAACTACACAACAGAAAGGACTTCTAACAGAAATTTTTCGTAAAAAGGGGAGATATTTTTAACCTTCAATTTTTTTATTATTTGCTGTTTTAATTCAATGCATTTCATTCAAATTTTCAATTTTTTTAGAAAAATTAAAAAAATACAAAAATAGTGAATTCCTAAACAAGCGTTCCTAGATTTTGCAGAGCTTACTCAGGAAGTAATTAGATTGAATTATAAGAAGCATGATATTTGTGGAGTATTCAATTATTTTTATAATCTGAGAATGACAACTGCTCGTTTGTATAATTGTTTTAATTAAAACTCTTAGATAATGCTTGATGTGAAATTTTGAAATTAGATTCTAATTTGAATCACAACTGTGAGGATTTGAGCCTAAACAGAAATATTTTTCAGAGAGGCCTCACTGTAGTAATTTTCTAGAACTTGAACTGTTTCTCTGGCTTGCATGCATTACTGACATGATAAAGGCATATGTATTCTTGTTAACTTAGAGCCAAACAGCCTACCTAAAAGAATTTTCCATTGTTAGCCCTTTTGAGCCTTAGACCAATTTATCCAAAAACCTGATGAAAATTACTTAACCATTTCTCCATTGACACACCTTGAAAGAGATTGAAATGTTGATCAAAGAAAAAAGTCAAGGTACTTCTCAAAAGAAAAGTTAAGTAAGTTGAAAAAGGAAATAGAAGAAGGGTCTGCAAAATACTGCAAAGAAAAAAAAAATTATTAAAAAGAAAAAAAGAAATTTGCAGCTCAAAAGAGAAAAGAAAGAAATTATCACAAATATCTTGGAATGTTGTGAGGTGTGTGTAAGGATCTTCTGCAGGGACTCCATTGAAGACCCCTGCTTCCCTAATCATGTGGAACATGATAGGTTTTAGTTTGAAATTTGGTGCTACTGGGGGAAGGATTACTCCCTTATTTGGTCTGTTCCTGAAAGGAGCAGCCAAAGTTCTGAAGTTCTGTTCAGGGGGAACCTCTTCATTGTTATTAATATGATCAACCATGTTTTCAGGAAATTCTTCCCTGAGGTTCCTTCTTCTCCTATGGAGTGTACGTTCTGGCTCAGGATCAAAGAGAAACTTAGGTACTTTAATGAAGTGGTCAGAGTCTGTTTCAAACTCTTTACTCATAAACCAATAGCACAAGGTATATATATGCACAACAGATTCAGTGATAAAGAGAAAAAAAATATAAAAGTAAAGCAAGATATATAGTATATGTGTTAGAAAAAAATGATAATAACAACAATTAGTGTTTCTATCCCCGGCAACGGCGCCAAAAACTTGTTGGGTGGTTTGCTGATGGGAAAAAAATATAAGTTCTGATAGGGGACGTTCCTCTGTTCTTGCAGAACACAGATTCGTCCCTTAGTTCCAACCCAAGTGCGCAAGTGCACGCATCAAGTAATAAAGGAAGTATTAATGCCCAAATTATCGTTCTCACGAGAATAGAGTGCTAATTATTGTTTTATCACTGTTTATAAAGAATGAAAATAAGAAGAAAAGTTAGTAAATGAGCTGTCTGGTCAAACGTTCCCTACTGTCTTGACAACGTTCCTCAGGAACAGTAGGTTCAATCTGATGGCAAACAGTTGCTCGCTGCGTTATGTATGTGAACCTAAATAACTATAAATAGAGACTCAGACCTCAGAGAAAAATGAATCTTTGGCTGAAGAGAATTGAGGGAGCTCTTGGAGACTCATGCTGGAGATCAGGATTCCGACGAAGTTGAAGAACGAAGATCATTGATCCTTCATCTTCTTTTTCTTTATTGTTTTCATGAATACTTTTTATTTCTTTAATTTATTTAAGTCAGCTATGTCTGACTAGTTTGTTTTTGTAGTTGGGATCACGAACCCAATATGAATCCTTTATAATTTCTGTATTGATATTTTATAAGTTAATTAGTTAGTTTGTTTTATTCTACCTGGTTTAATTTTTCATATCCTGTTTAGAACTGATCACTCTAAATTACAGAGCTTTGAGGGTTAGGACTCACAATAGACATATTGGGGTTTTAGTCTGGACAAGGGTAGAATAACAATTTGTGTATGATCTAAACATAGGCTTACATAAATTGCAGACGTATAATTCATTTGCTTAATGCTTAATTCAAGAGGGATTACTAAGACATTAGGATTCTAATTGGATTAAAGGGTTGAAATCACTAAGACATTAGGGTTCAACTATTTTATAGGAAAATAATGAATTATCTGAGCAAATGAATTAATTAATTATAAAATACAATATAGGAATATAAGGGAGGATCGGAGGTGAAGTGCATCCTGGCTACATCCTTTTATAAATTTTTCATCAATACTTTCTCGTGTTCTTGATCTTTTCTTGCATGCGTTAGAAATTAATTGTTTTTAAATTCTGTTTTTAAATATTATTTTATTTTAAATTATGTTTTTAAATTTCAAAATCAATTATCTTCACAATTCAAACCAATTTTATTTTCCAACTTAAGCGGAATAGTTAAACTAGTACTTGGTGCATTAATCCTCGTGGGAACGATACTCTACTTATCACTTTATTACTTGAAACGAACGGTATACTTGCCGATTTCGCAACATTAGGTGTGTGTATGTGTGACTCAATGTAAATGGGCAGAATAACGATACATAAGATACCTTCTTGGTGTGCCCAGGGGGCTTATTTATAGGGGAAGGTGATGTGAACCTTGTGTGGGTTGGTGAGGAGGGAGTTAACCCTCCTCGGGATCTGCTAGGGTGGCAGACGCTGCTGGGCGTGGCAAGCGCTGCTATGATAGCAGCGATGCGCTCCTATGCCTGGCGATGTCAGCGTGTGACAAAGGGCAGTTTCCTCTTATGGTATCTGGGGCGGTCACCTTAGGGGGTTAGGGTCCCAAGACGGGACATTTTGGTGTTTTCCCTAGGGAGTGTCGTTGCGTTGGGGGTTGGGGGGCTGACAGCTGGTAAGGCTGACGTGGATAGGGGAATGAGATTGGACTTGGACCTTTGGGCTGCTGTATTGCTGGGCCATCCGGAACATTATGGGCAATTAATATGGGGTTTATAAGGCGTTGGAAACTCCCACCCTTGAGCTAAGTTTTGAGGTAGTGCACCTCAAGATTCTTATCATGAATATGAATAATAATAATAATAATAATAATACTTGAACGAAGATTAGGGGTCAGCACTAACCATCAGTTCAGTGAACTTGTTCCATGATGAAAGATAGGATTTTTTTCCTTTCTATTAATAGGGCATAGACACTAAAGACTTGGTCAAATTTCATACTATATTATTATACATGATGGGGAAAAAAATACCTAGATGAATTAATGGGAAGAGTGACAAAAATTCCTATACAGTTTCATATTTACACAAAAGAATAATTGAATTGGGCATCGTATTCACTCATGACATACGAATAATTGGTATCACTGATCTTCCTCTGACCAACATGGAGGATTCTGATCTTGACTTGTGCTCAACTCCTTGAGGCATGCTTCTTGTTTCAACTTTCGCCTGATATTTTTGTGACTGGTGTTGACACTCTAGTCTCAACCAAGGTCCAGTGGTGGTTCTAGGAGCAAAGGATGATTTAGAGCGGCAATCACTTGTTGGGGACAAGTTAGCTTGTTCCAAAGCCAGGTACTGAAGCTTGCAAGGGTAGTCCCTCACAAAGCCAATACGAGGTCCAGCTCCAGTTGTCCATTTGCAAGACAACTGCTTCCCCAATTGGTATGATTTCATTTCTTTATGTGAGATAAGCTTTTTAAGTATCGACTCTTCCGGAATAGTTTCTACATCACTGACATCATGTTTTTCATCAGAAATATTTTGCTTTGGAAACGTGTGATCTAGCTCTGATGCTAAAGCTTGTGCTGTTTCTTGACCACCTGTAGGAGAATCCATTTGGAAACTCTCATTGCTCTGCTTTGCACATGCTTTCTCATTATCTAGTCCTTGAATCATTTGATTCCTCTTTGGTATTTCAAGATTGGTCAGTTCTCTTCCAAAAATCTGGAATTGCCTTATCTTAGGTGCCACCAGTGCAGATACTGAAGCGTTCTCAGTTTCCATCAAATTGGCCTTCTCTTCAACACTGATCTCTTCCGCATCCAAGTCACTCATATTCTCAGTTAAGTCCTCTTCATATGAGTGGCTTCTAAGATGACCTCTGTTTTTCGATGAACACAAGTCATCCTCCTCCTCCTCAACTGGAGTCATCTGCACATAACAAAGAGAATTTCCTCAGAATAAGTTCTCGGGTCTTTTAAACATATCTAAAGCTGTACAAAGAATGCAAAGCCTTAAACTTCTGATACCTTGACATCAGAAAGGTCCACATTGTTATCCTGAAGGAATAAAATAAATTCCTTAAAATTCTCTGCTGTGGGACGATAATGGCCACTGTGAGGCCAAACTGACTGTAGAAAATAAACAACAAAATCATTTTTAATTAATCAAATATTAGCCACTTATGGCAATAGGAATCCAGCAACATAATAATAAATTTATGAGCCTTCTGCCAGATTTATACCTTCAACATACCATATTCAACTACTAGTCTCCCAGCGCAAGATGTGGCTCCTCCAGCCAAAAAGCTAGAATGCTGAAATGAACCTTTCTTTTTCCTGCCAACATACAAGGTCTTAGATGTGCTAAGGACAAAAATCCACTTAGCATGAGCACCTTCTCCTGTAGTGTGAAGCAGCTCTCCTGATTGCTTGTAGAAGAACCTTCCGTCCACCACAACAACTTCATAAGACAACCTTTCCATCTGGGAGAAAGAAGAATGAAAATAGTGAATTAAAATTTAAATCAAAATAGCTCAAGTAAATTCGTTTAAGAAGAGGATGTTCGTTCACATAAAAGGGAGGAAACCTTACCGGACCTAGATATTTAATACACTGCTGTTGGAGTTTAGATCGAGGGCACTTCTCTAGATTTACTTCCTTTCCTTCTCCTATATCTAGCCTGAAATTTCAAAGGATAAGCTTAATTTCAACCCTGGTGATTTAGGATCTTTATAAAACAGTAGCCTAAATTGTAACCCAGAAATATATTAGACAAAGAATATTACCAATAGAAAAAGGGCTCTCTGCTCTGACACTTGAGCCATCTATCATAATAAAAGTGTAGATTATGTCCATACCGATGGCGTGGATCAATCTGTTTTATGCACATTAAAAGCATTTCAGTAAATAATGGTTGATGAATGAACAACATTACAATTTACAAGTACATAAAGAATTAGTATGATCAAGTGTTTGACTCACTGCTTCAAGCCAGTGCTGCAAAGCAAGTTTTTGAGCTTTATCATCTTTTGATAAACCTTTACCAACCTGCAATGACAAAATGATGCTTAAATTCATTTTCTTATAGCTTGAAAATTAAAATTTTGGGAGAGAACTTTATTGAAGGCATTAACCAGGAACCAGGACCACTCCAAAAGAAATTATATATAAAAAAAAAAAAAAAAAAACCTCCAAAGCAGCATAATGTTAAAAAGTACCTTGGCAGCTCTGGTTCTAGCTCTAGACCAACGTGAAATGGCAGATTCATGTTTCTCAATGTCAAAGAAAGATATAGAGCTGCGCTTGAGTTCAGCAAAATCCAAGAGCTTCCACCTGTTGTTAAAACAAAAGATCAAATTAAAACATGTAAAAAACACATGAAGATTTTGCAAAAAGGACAGAGTTTCTAGTTGCTGGTACCAGCTTTGTTCAACAAGAATTGCACAATCTGCTAGTTTTCTTCTTGTACGAAAGCTTTTGTATACTTTCTGCAATTTAAGTGCAGCCGTGTGTTTGTGGTTGTTTAGATCCAAAAGTGCTGATTGGATCTTTTCCATTTGACACTCTGATCGAAGAGACTGATCATCTATCCCTTTGATCTTTTTGTTAATCCTTGACACAGTCATGTGTTTCTCTTTGTCAAAAGCCAGAGTCTTACTTGAGATTATGTTCTCCATATCTTTTCTTTTGAAGCCCACACATGCCTCGATTGTCATCTTTCCAGAACCTAGAGATTTCAGAATTGTGGGTTCTAAATCTTCATTTTTGAAACTGACTGAAAGCATTGGAGTTTTGATTTCATCATTGCCAAAGTTTATGGATTTTTCAATCAATAAGTCCAAGCCATCTTCCACATGACTGCACTTAGCAAATGGACATGAAAAAGAAATTCCCATATAACAACAAAACCAATCTGTAGAAACTTATGCAGTCCGAGGTCCTGAAAATTGCAAAGAAGTCAGCATATCGTATCAGATGCTACATTTTTTACATTATTAAAAAGGATTGCAAATAAACCGAATAATCTGACAAACAAGTTAAAAAACATTGACCGAAACATGAATATCAAAAAAAAAAAGAAAAAGAAAAGAGATGAAAAAACCAACGAAGGGAAAAGAATAAAATAGCCAATGCATACTTGTTTCGCTATGTGGTTTTAGATAGCCAGCAGTGCACGTGAAGAGCTAGCGTTCAAACATACAGTATTCAATATGTATAAATAAAAATCATCTTCGTTGATGCATCAATAAATGGAAAGGATCAAAACAAAGAGCAAAGTACCTAAAGGTTGAAGAAGCCAGCAATCAGGTAGGAGATAAGAATGGTTATGGTGCAGTAGTGCACTAAAGGAAAAAGTACTGAGGAAAACTCAACTAGCTTTTCTTGTTCGCACTTATAACTCAAGTTATCAGCTATCTTCTTCATTTTCATACATATATATAGCATGATGGAAGGAAGGTGAAGAAAGCGAAATAGACTTTGACAAAGACACGGATTCTTTTTTCCAACCACATGGAGTGGACCGTTCCTAACAACACGCAGGTTCGGCTTGTCATTTAATTTTTTTTAAAATTTATAACAATCCCCAATTTTATACAAAATTTGGGGTTCAATTTTCTATCCTTTAAAATCTAAAGTCAATTACAAATCGAGCATCGAATTTATTCGTTGAATCTATGTGCCTGGTTCAATTGAATCAATTCTTTACCTCAGTCTCCTTAGTCCTTATAATCAACATGTTTCATTGTGATTGTTAGAAATGAAATATATAATTTTTTTTATTTTTCTTATAATAAATAGTATTTGTAGAACTAACAAAGCATTAAAAAAAATCAACATTAACAACAGTTATAGAAATGAAAAGACGAATTGAATTGTGATTCAGGATTATTTACTTTAGAGTGTAATTTGGGTAAGTTTTTTTAAAAACATTCACTCCTAAAACGACGTCGTTTTGGGTGGAAAGATTAAAAAATTAGAATGAGAAAGACTATTACAACCCTGAAATAAATTATAATTACAAAAATATTATGATTTTCACCTCAAAACGACGTCGTTTTGAGATCAATGTAGATAACTTATCTACATTGATCGCAGAAAAAGCGAACTCGTATATATATATATATATATGGAAAAATATTTCTTCGGCTAGTTGAGAAGAGTTTATCTCTAGTCACCCCAAAACTACGTCGTTTTGTTTATTTATTTCCTTATATTAATTGATTCACTTTTGAATGGTTATGATTATCATTTTCTCTCTCTTCCTTTATCACCATTGATCCATCTATGTACGGTTATGATTTAGTAGTCGGAGATAAAGTTATCTCAAGCAACTTGAGAAAAGATAAGTCCATATATATATATATATATATATATATATATATATATACAATATTTGTCATTTTAGAAGACATAGAGTTGTGTTATTTTAACCGGAAAGAAAGACACAAACTAATTTTTTTAGAGTTAAGACCTTTTTTGATCCCTAACAAAAAATACGGTCCCCCACTTTAGTCCCTTATAAAAATAAATTAGTTAGTTAGTCCCTAACAAATTGAAGGTGGACCCATTTTAATCCTTTTGAGGGACTAATATGGGTCTTTTTTGAATTTGTGAGGGACCACGATTTCAACTAAATGGGTCCACTTTGAATTTGTTCGGGACTAACTGACTAATTTATTTTTGTAAAGGACTAAAGTGGGGACCGTGTTTTTTGTTAGGGACTAAAAATGGTATTTACTCTATTTTTTATTTAAAATTTAAATTTTAAAAAAAATACTCACTTTCTCCCCAATAATTTCCATTTGTTTGTATTTTTCTCTTACATAAAATGACACAACTATATATCATTTAAAAAGACAAACATCAAACCTTATATATATTAAGGGTCCGTTTGGTGGATAGGACATGATATGCTATCATATCCTACGCTTATCCATTGTTTGATAAACCAATAGGATATGATAAGCTTATCATGTTGGCTTATTTTATCATGTCCGCAATAGGATAAACTATCATAATGGGAAACTCGGGTTAGGAATGGATAGGATATGATAACAAATGTTACATCCCTCTCATTCCAAATAGAGCCATTTGCTTTTCCACTACGAACATTAATGGGCACGTGAGGGTCATCCCTTGCCACCGACCAACTGCCACCACCGGCCATCAGCGACCTCTATCACCCACTACCGCCACCATCATCGCCACCACCATCGCCACCAGCCATCACAATGAGCTACCGGCCACCACCATTGTCACCGGCTATGACTACCCCCAACAACAAGGCACTAACCACCCGCCACCACCACCTCGAGCCGCCACCAAGCACCAATCGTCACCCCCACCACTACAACCGTCCACCATCATCAATTAGCCACCACAATTGCCCTATGTCAACGTCAGCGTCGCCACCACCAACCCCCCCCCCCCAAACATGTCACCATTGCACCAATAACTACCACTATTCACCGCCGTTGCCATTGGCCACCGACACTCCCAACCACCACGCACCAACCATCACCGCCATCAATCAATCACCACAGTTGTCACCAATTATTACCGGCGTTATCACCATCACCATTACCACCTGCCTAGCTGCCCCTACAACTAATACTGTCAGTAATTCAATCGGTCACCCATTGCACCAGCTGTCGCCGCCACCACCCTCCACCATCACTAACCATCGACCACCAATATTAATAATCATTTTAAAGATTAATTTTTAAAAATCTAATTGGTGAGGATATAATTTTTAATATTTTAACAAATTTTGACAGTTATTTATGTATTTTAATATATTTATTTAAAATTATGACTTTTAATTTTTTTAAAAATTTAAAATGAAATATAATGTGAAGATAAATAAAAAAAGAAAAATTAAAAATCAATTTTAAAACATCATATGAAATTCTATTGAAGGGATATTTTGTCTACTTGCATCATATCATGACATTATATAGTTCGCCTCAAACACCGGATAAGATAATATTATCCTATCAGACTGCTTATCTTGTCCACATCAAATAAAGGATAGGATATGAGCTTATCATGCTCTTATCCTATCATACTCTTATCCAACCTTCCTATCCTATCCATTCTTATCATATCCTGTCTACCAAACGAATCCTAAAAGTTATTTTTATTAACTTAAAAATTGTAAAACTTTTCTTTAAAAAACTTATCTAATTAATTAAAAGATTTTAGACATGTTTTCCTTTGTTAAAAAAGGATTTTTTTTTTTCCCAAGTAAATAGTCCTTTCTTTTTTTGTTTCTATTATGTGAGGTGTTGTTTTCGTTAAAAGTCTAGCAGTTGAGTGCGATCTAAACCAAGTGAGAATGAGATTGACTTCCAACATCAACCCTTCGCAACTGCTTAGGTCATCTAAGACAATTCTAGTAACTCCGCGTCAGTGGGAACGAAGCTTGAGCTCCAAGTTTCTAAATTAGCCTGTATCCAAGAAACTAACCCGCACAACATATAACCTGGTATATCTTATAAATTAAAGAATTATATGTGTGGTTGAATTTGTGATGTGAATTTGCCTGTGTAATGGTCTTAATTGGTATGTTGTCCGGGCTGACTTCAACTTATATTATGGGTATTCCTCATTTTTGAAATTCTATTGGGTCAAAGGATATGGAATTCATAAAATAAAAATAAAAAAAAAAATAAAAATTCTACTATCTAATAGATTAGACTAAAGAATGAATCGGAATATGTACCAAAAAAAAAAAAAAAACAAGTAAAACCCATCAAATAATAAGAGGTTAATGTTTTTCCTATACACATATAGGAGTGAGGGGATCCAATGAGAAGAAGAAAAATAAAGAGAAAAAAAGTAAAATCTATTCTCTTTTATACAGTGTTATAAAAACTGATCTAACCTGATCGATTTGACTGGTTAACCCATGAACCGGACCCCCAACTAATCTGGTTTATGTATTGGACCGGTCATGTATTTGACTCGGTATGAAACTGGTGAACTTTTCTTGAACTAGGTTCAATCGATATTAAATCGGCATCGATTTTTTAAAAAACTCGAGTTTGTGAAATTTTGAACAAAATACTTGAAAAATATCACTAATGAGATTTGAACTTAGACCATTTGTGACCACTGATTGAACTGATGATCCATTAACTCAGTATCCTAACGGAGTCAATAATTGATTTGAGTTTGATAACATTGCTTTTATTTATTAATAAGAGATAAAGTTATCTCATATCGAAAAAACATTAAACCCTAATACTTACAAAATCTTTTTTTTTTTTGGTGAACTAACAAAGTCTCTTTTAACTTGTAGCTCAAATATGGTCAAAAGTGACCAAACGTACAAAGTTTGTTATTATTATTATTTTCAATTTTGTCATTTATATGATTAATTGTTTTTTAATTTTAATTTTAAATTATTTCAATTGATACCAATATCTCTGATAGACTTACGAGTTATACATAAAAATTTGATCATTGTTTTCTAGTTTTTATTCTATATTAATATGATATCATCAATTAAAAGTGTAGTATAATTAGTATTAAAGATTAAATTGAAATTATCTGAAATTATTTATTTAAAATTATCAGAAAATTTAATGACTTATTTTAATTTTATCTTCAAAGTTAAATTATTATTTAATAAAAATAAAAGTATATATATTAAAAGTGTATTTAAATCAAGTAAACTAAAATAATTTAAAAAACTTGTTTTCTCTTGCTTTTACCTTAAAATAAATATAAATCAAGTAGTACTTTATTTTTCCTAATTTTTATCTTATATTTTTATAATATTATTAATGAAAATAAATTTTAAAAAAATTTATTTTGATTTAACCTCGATATGCAACACCCCAAATTAATGGTGATATGTTACACTAGAGAGAAATACAAATAAACTGAATTATGTACATACATTGTAACACCTCATTTGCAACAGGTGTATTATCATGATTATAATATAAAACACAACATAATTAATTAATAAAGCGTAATCCATACTTGTATGTATCACAATTGCACTTATATAAATATGTGAACTAACTTTTTCCTTTCTTACATATTGACATGTAATCCTCCATTTTACTCATAATCAAAGTAATTCATACTTTCATTTAAACATTAACATTTACCAAGCTTTACAATTGCATTTCAACTAACGTAAAGTTAGACTAGCTCATTCATGTCTAATAACAATAATTTATCATATAAATCAAGATCCTAAACAATCCACACAATAATTATCAATATTCTGCGTCAACCAGAGTAGACATAACTCTAGCAGATCACAGTCTAATCTAAACTGCAGACTGATTTTTGCTCATTTGGCCATGATATTTTAACACATAAAACTAGACATCTAGAGCTTTAAAATAAACCTCATTTGCTTTATTTGGGTGAGAA